CTCTCCACGATTCGACTCACGTAGCTATTGAAGATTTGCTACGTAATAGAGACACATCCTAAGATATACGCGCGGCCCTGGGGCGCCCCCGTCCTCGCCGCGCCCGCTTTATGTTCTGTTTATTAGGGGCCCAGACCTTCGCGCACTATCTGATCATTTCGCGGGCAAAGGTCATAATAGGAATGGTTCTGGTCATATCTAATACTCCCAGTGTTATTCATAAAAAAGGAAATAACTTTCTGAATGTGCCGTCGAGATATATAAATTTCATTTTTCCCTGACGTTCGTTTTTATGTATTGCCTGACATTTGGACGGGCCGAGTTTTTCCTACAATGAGAGAAAGAACCGCGAACGCAGATTTATAGCAAATCCGGCAACAAGTTGTTAGAGAATGTATCATTGGAATTGCACATTCACCAACGATTTGCGGATAATTTTTAAATTATTGACGTGTTCCGAAACAGGGAAACGATAGTGAGATAGTTTAATTTTAATGATAAGAAATTTGTGTTTTATAACAGATTGCCATTTCATTTTTAAATTGAAAAATAGACAAGGGTATTTATTTTGCTCTTGTTACAATGTTTTTAAGCTAGTAATGTAAATACAATTTACACAAAGTATAACTATCAAGCAGGTTAAGTACAGCGCAATCTCCCTGTACACATCATCACACATCCAGCACAAGCTGAGAGCCGCACAGTAAACTACTCAGTTGAAAATAACTATTCTAAAACATTTCACCCTAATTGATGACACCGGGCTGTGTGTGTGTTTATTCCATTTGCAAACTTACTCGTGTGTTTTTTTTTGATAAATATAATATTATTTGAAATGAGTTATATATTTTATTGCACTTTTCATAGTTTGTGGGAACTCCATAGATTAAGTTTTATAACAACATTTGCTGCTGCATTAATTGACCGAAAAAATACCGACAATACAAGTTATATTATAAATGTGAACATATATATATATATATTTAAACTGATTCTATGTAAATTTTTAAATTAAATTACAAAGTACTTCAAAGTTTGTTAATGTATTAGTAACAAGAAACGATGATATTCTAGAAGAAGATCATGTTCATAGATTGCCATTTAAATTGAAATTAAAATCTGTTTTAAAACTTATTTCTTTTGCAAAATCTTTCCTACACCAAATAGCTAAACTTTAAAATAATATATATTATTACAATATGATCGCTTTCACCGCTAATTCAAAATGAGTAACACACAAAGGTGAGTTGAGTGCGCAGGGTATCTCCGCGCGGCCCTTGCAGCAATCTGTCAGAGGAGAGAGCAGTGGGAGTGAGGAGAGAGAGGCCCTCCGAGACAATGGCGTCTCCGATGATTTATGCACGAGACCGCTGCTTCACTAATTATCGCTAAACAGCCCCTCGTCCTTAAGGTCCCCTTTTATGTTTTGGGGAACTGTCAAATTCCAAGTTTGTATAGCCGAGTGCGGGCTCCAATTTATGAACAATGCCAAAGTAAATATACATCTATATGTAAATGATGTTATATTAAGACTAATAAAGCGATTTGAATTCCCTTTGAAAGTTTACCAAAGCCTTTTATTGTTAGAACGATGCTCAACTTGAGATTGATAATTAACGATTCAACAACCTTACGTTACATGATCAATTAACTTATTAAGTTTTTTTAACCTATTATTTGATCCTTATATTCTTTCATCCATCTCATATTAATAATAAGTTTTTGAGGTTGAGTTACCTTGTCATTTACGTGCACAAATGACGTGAGAGCAAAAGGCCAGCTAAAAACCACCCCAGACATGCATCCAATAATCTTGCTACTTTTAATCACATATTTTCCACTGCTTTGTATAATTGTTAAGTTGATTTTTGTTAATTTAAAAGTGTTTTTTGTATGGCAATGAAAAGTTTTCTCTTATATAATATAATTAAGTAAATTTAATTTGAAGAGTAAAATCAGTATGAATTACAATAGTTGATATGTACATTATGGAGAAAGTAATTGAGCGTTAAGAGAAATATTTTGAGAGCAAATGTTGATACAACGTGTAATGGGCAAAGTTTCATTATAATTTCGTTCACGTTTCGACCCACTTAGGTTCTGTTTCACAAAGACGAGCACGTTTGTGTATCAGCCTTCCTTTACTTTCTATAAATGTGTTTCAAGTTTTACAACAACTAACAACTTCAAGCACTTTCTTGCTACGGATATCTTACATAAAATTACATAGATTTTATAATTGTTTTCCTACAATATGTATGTACGAGTACAACGTTAAATATACCTCTAACTATAACTATTCTTAATAAAGATACATTTCAAAGTACAAATGACCCAACCAAAAACCCAAATATCGTGAAAAAATTACATCTGAACAATAAATTCTTAAAACTTTCGTGGGACATTGTCACAAACAATAAACGTCTTTATTAGTTAATCTACATAATAATAGAATCTGCACATCTGTCTGTTCAGTTTTAACGGAGCAGTTTAACCGACACTTAATTTTGTTCCTATACACCCATAGCTTTAAGTGTACCGTTCGACTGATCAGTAAAAAACTGAAGACGTGTAGCAGCTTTTACGGTATAACGTCGCGAAATACTTTTTACATCGCTTAGTACTGCTTCCTACAGCCGTATCATAAAAGCGTAATTGCGGTTGTATAATGTTTTTTATGAATCAATACACAATTTGTAAGGGAAGTTTTAATGAGTTTCACCGAGACTCCGGCACTTCGGTAACGGATGTCAAGTTTTGATCCCGAACAGAAGCAATATCAATTGAGAAATTATCGAGGAGCCACAAACTCGGGTTCAAGTCGAATTTCAAAGTAATCAACTAGGTGCGACCCTTAAACCCTCCTTCCCCTACTCCCCCTCCCCGACATCCTTCCTCTGTTGCCACTTTACAACTAACACAGCTTTTTCTCTAGCAATATCAGCATAAGTGTTTTTAATTCCAATGATCTTACTGGAAATAAGATGATTTGCATTTCATTAGAATACTACATAATATATCTTTTAGATTTAATTATTTTATTTTTATAACACGAAATATCCGTTTGGTGTAATACAATCCATAGCAGTGACACTAACAACATTGCTAAGTGTATAAATGAATAAATTGCTGATGAAAATTTAATTGGTTTCTCTCGAGGGCAACTAAAGTTACGATAACTGTGTCTGTAGTAAAAAATGATTTAAGGAGACGTTATCAAAAGTCAACATTCAGTTTGTGGGCCGAATGTGCAATTGTCTGTCAAACTTCATGGTTTCTAGCTAAGAAATTAAATCATTAATAGTAAAAAAGAACACAACTAAAATAGCAAACCAAAGTGGAGATGAAAAAAGATGTTTCCAATCCAAAGTTTTTTTTATTTTAAAAACATTTCTTTTCTTTTAGTTTATTTATCTGTTAAACTTTATTGAGTCCGTGGTCTCTCTCCGTAGTAAAGGTCAGCTAAATCTAAACGCTCAGCAGAAACTATAACCTTCTACGATAGATATTTATGTAATTATAATCTTGTCTCAAAGCATCCTTCTAATTTTATATATAACTCAAGTATTTTTACATTAACCCGCTTAAGTATTTAGTACAATTTTCAATACAATTTTTCTTTATTTTCTTGCAAAGGTAAAGAACCACTGCGTACTTTGTACAAAATACAATCTCTAGGATTTCTTTCAGTGACTTCCAAGCTCAATGCTATTAAGCTTTAATACTCTTATTTCAGTTCCCAAGCGACTATAACAAAGCAAACGAAGCGTGGTACAAGTCGCTAACATTGTAAGCACCCTTAACTAAAACGACGAAGATTAAGTGTCGTTATTATAAGAAAGCTCGTTAGCACCGCTGTGAGTAAGCGCGTGTTGTTACCACTCTGCCACAGTGCGTACACCGAAACTGTTTTAGTTCACATTAGTTGAGCGCGTTACATGTCAAATAGATTACCTATACATCAAAATTCTGTCGACGTGAAATGTTCACTCAAATTATTGGGAAAATAAAATTGTTCTTGGTTGTACATTACCTCTATATAAATGTCGTTACCTATTTACCTGATAGTTATAAACTAAGACAATGGTTTGAATTTATATATTTAAGTAGACAGTTAAATATATAATATAATTCATTGTGGTTTTGTTTAATTTGCTGTTACATATATCAAGAATATTATTGAAGGAGATATAACTTGGTATGTGACGTCACAAAAAGATTATCGAGGGTGCTTTTATAACTCGTATATTTCCGGGAAAGTCGCAAACGTCTTCGACGATTATAAAAAAAATATTATATTTTCGTTTATGAACATTGTGATTCATTGATCTAATACATACGTTTTCTGATCTTATAATATTATATGACAAAAATACGGGTCCGGTTAATTTATTTCACAATCAAACAAAACTAAACATAATTGTCGTTTCAAACGTTAACATACGATTTCATTGATTTAATAAAATCGATCAAACTTTGTAAGTTTGATAATGATGGTATCCCTGTACCTATATTTAGGATTAGAAATGCGTGTAAGAAATATGCTAAATATTTCATCCCGGTAACGGACAAACATTCCAATGCGGTCTCATTTTACATGGGAATGTCAGGAGAACAGAAATAGGATTTCCTAAAACGCTTGAGGTCAATATTTGGTTATCTTTTCTTGTGACAATTAAATACATACAAACATATAAGGTCAAATATTATGTAACTGAAAAGTTGTTTTCTATATGCATACCTAGTGTGGGTCAAGAAATACATAGCAAATATTCTAGAATTATTTTTAGTTTTTGTTACAAACATATCATTAGATTTATAGTTTTAATATCGACTATAATTGACTGTTAATATTTATTATATTATAATTTAAGAATTAATTAAAAGCGCACTTAAAACAATCGTTAATACAAAATAAATAAATATATATCTATGCCGATATATTTGATTAAACATTGATGAAGTACAATATCTTGTACTTTCGAATATACGACACTTACCAACTAAGAAATATTCTTTCAAAACATCAGCTCATGATTTTATTCTAAGCAAAATAAAATCGCACATCGTTCTGATAAGTCAACTGTTACTTTGCGAGGTGCGCACAAACACCAGATATTCTGGCTTATCACTTATGTTTCACAAATTCCCATCAGCACGGCACTATCACGATTTTTTTTTTTGGTTTCGTGATCACTATTTACACGGTAGCGCAACACTGGTGACACGACACGTCCTCTCATCACCGCGGCACGGCGGGTACTAACTACCCTGCGAACGATGAGGGTTGAGGGCCACGGCGCACGCCTCGGCCGCCTCAGATAACATTCCCACTGTCCCCTTTGCCAGAATACTTTGACGTTGGGCTCATTTTCAACACTATTTCGAAGAACTAAGCCTTTCGTAGTTTTTTATTCATATAAAAAAACTTTTGATTTCAGATTCTTAGAAACAAAATATAATTTTTGTCTAGAATATAGATGAAATATAATAAATAAACCTCAGCCGTCAAAACAAATGTGTGTTTAAAGAACTTTGATTGCCACCTCTCAGCAAAGTGGTTTAACGTTTTCAGGGATGGTAAAAATAGAGTTAACTGTACTAGTTAGGAAAAAAATCAGTATAGCCATAAGATCAATGCGGTTTTGTAGTACATCGCGATATGTAATTAAAACGAACGTAATATGTTGAACAATACTAGGTACATACTGTGACTATATCTATCCCAGCTACAATATCAAATCTCACAGTTGCAGATTGGCGGCTGAAACATTTATGACTGTACGCGAAGCCGTCACTGTTAATGACTGACAGAAAACACCAGCTCCGCACACGTAAGACATGGACCAATCAAAGCGCCCCATCTCCTGAACAACACTCACACATGCATAGATGTACTCAGCGCAACGTTTACCAAGTTCCCTGCAAAGTAAGCATCGCAAACGTGCAAACGCCGGAGATAGGGCTTTTCTTTGACTCCTTTTATCTGTCCGAGGGAGGCCTAAATAGGATGCAAACAGAGATAAGGTCAGCAGCCGCGCTGAATGGAGAATTAGTAGGCACACCCAGTGGGCCGCATGCGCCGCCGCCGCCGCCGTCGCCGCCGTGTGAAATGAAAGGGTGTACAAACATTTTTATTGCGGTCCGTTTCCGTTTGAAAAACTTCAAAATGTAAATAGATACCGTATTTCATGAACATGTTGTTGGACTTATGTGAAGGCCTTTTGTACAGGGATATTACACTGGGTTATTTAACTGAGCAATTTATTCCTTCGGGGACATTATCTTTTTTACGTAAGTTTTTGTTAGTGCTCGGCGCCAAAGAAGTAGTAAAACAACACCAAAGGAAACGACTTGTAATAAAATTAATAATCGCGCTGCGGAAAACTAATTCTCGTAGCAAACAGACTTACTGAGCCTGTAAAAATACGCATATACTATGTTTTAAAAAAATAATTGATCGTTAAATGAATATAATTATATGATAAAATAAAGTATTTTTAATTACCTATTTATTTATTTGTGTACTAATTTTGTGACCTTTTACCATCTAAGAAGATTTTCATCACTTTAATATCGTCAACCTTAAGTCAGAGTTTCCTTGTTATACATTTTCATTTCAATTAAATTCAAATAGAGACGTATCTCTAATAACTTATTATTATATTTGAGTTTATTATAATTAACACTTACTATATAATGTTTCAAAAAAGATGACAGACGATAGATGCAAAATGTGAATAACAATATTTCCGTGTGATCATTGGATCGTGACTAAGAGATGATATAACTTATTCACCAGACAGTGTATAAATTATCGTAGCTGTGAAACACGGAGCAAACTGCGCACAAGTCAATTTCTCTTACGTATTTATTGACATTGGATACAAACTAAATATCAATTTATTCAACCTTATTAACTATCAATAGAGTTTCGACAGCAAACAAATAGCCTGTAAGCTTCTAAACCTGGGTTTCTGAAACCAAAATTCCAAAATGTTTTTGTATTGTCAAAGATAAAGACAGGGTTGACGATGTATTATACAGAAATTTTGATCTCAGAAACCAACTATAATTAATGTAATGTTGAATTCAAAAACCTTTTTTTTGTTTCTCTATGTTAAGCGTTCCCAAACAAATTCTTCGGCATTTGATATGTAAATCGGTTCTTACAAAACCAACTGCTCAATTCCTAATGCTGATTGATTTCCGTGAAATATGAACGAGTCAAAGCATTATTTGTGCATTTCGATCCCCGAGGCAAACACACCGATCATTACACTGAACGAATAATTATTGTTTGACGGACTCCACTCGCAATCGCAATCGCACTGTGACATCATTTCATCTCTAATTGAAAATTCTCTTCCCAACTGATGTCTATGTGGAAATATTTGCACGGAAGCATGTATGCAAATTAACCGTAACACATCGTACTAACAAGTTTATGTTTGGTACATAGATGCTACATTCATTAGTTATTTAATGTTTTAACAAACTCTCTCTGTGATGTTTATATTTGTCTAGGTAATATTTTTAATATCCTTCGTAAAACTTTTAGGAAAACTTCGCCTTTATCGAAATACTTTTTAGAGAAGTTAATGCGTACATAAGAATATTTCCATCAACTTCTTTGGAGTAGAAAATAGCAGTCTCTTTTATTTAAAACTAGTTATCGCCCGCGACTCCGTACGCGCGGAATTAAAAGAAAACTTAATTAAATAGTCTTTGTGTTCTTGCAGACTATGTTCTACATCTTTGATATATTTCATCAAGATCCATTGTGCCGTTCCGAGGATACCTTCACCCTAACAAATATCCACCAATCCATCCATCCAAATTTTCGCATTTATAACATTAATACGATGGCTTGAATAAGAAATGTCTTACAATGTAGTAATGATACCAATTTTGTTTAGGTTAATTAATGAATCTTTGTCTGTAGTGACACCTAACCGCTGCACCATAGTGCCTCTCTTATCTCGTTACTGTTTAGTCAGAGAGTAGTAATAAAAATGTTGTTTGTGTTGATAACAATAAAATGTGAAATGTCTGCGCGGCTTTCATTGTTGGTGCAAACAATCCGTTACGTCTTTATCTATAAAATCGTGGCTCGTACAGCAGTAAAGATAACGGCTGCCTCCTGCCGCCGCTCCTGACGCCGCTCCTGCCGCCGCGCCGCCCCTATCGCCGCCGCCGCCGCGGGCGAAACTTTGCTCATATTTCTGCGGTTGTTAATGTTCTGAATCAACTGCGGCTTGCGATTTATTGAAGTAATATTGACTTGTCTGGATAAGTGTAAAAGATTATTGCCAAAGTTTCTTCTAATTTATTGACAAATTTTAATTCTTTATGCAAAAGCATGCAAATACAGGGGTCTAGGCTCCGAATATCATTTTGTCCCATTCGGCGTCGAGACCCTTGGTCCGTGGGGTCATAGCGCTTTAAGACTTTTTAAGGACATTTCCAAAAAATTAATCGACATCACAGGGGACCGAAGAGCTGGCAGCTACCTCGGTCAAAGAATTAGTTTAGCTGTACAGAGGGGGAACGCTGCCAGTATCTTCGGGACCTTGCCTAAAGGGACTCCTTTTATTAACATATTTTAGTTAATTATTCGGTTTTTTTTTAAATTTTATTTTATATCTTAGGTTTAAGAGTTTATGTATTATAAGTATATATATGTATAAGGATGTAAATAATTAATAAAAATGATTGACATTGTTCGCTTTAGTCAGAAGATTAAATTAAAGTTGCAATTAAAAAAAAAAATCTTTATGTTACAACGAATGTCGCCAGGTTCATTATTAAAATGTAAACAGCAGCCGGCGGGGATAAACAAATAGGATAAACAGAAAAGAAAATGTTTATTATGATAATGAGTAACATGTAACTAAATATTTAACACTTCTTTACACACAGCATTTAGTAATTCTAACAATTTAAGAATAAAATTTCCTACAAGTAGATCTCATACAATGAAGAAGAAAACAAATAATAATTTTCAATTGTGTGCAGTCGCAAGGAATTACATTTTATCTTAATGAATTTAAAGCGCAGTTTGTTTCTTAGAAGCAACGAATCCGAATGTTAACTAAAAATACAGCCTTGTTCGTAAAATATATTCCATATTTTGAATTAACATAACCTTGGTGAAACTTGAATAAGAAATTATATAAGAAAGGCGGTACATTTGGCGAAGTCTCCGCTCGCTTGTCTATAAAGTAATTCAGCTTGTGGTTGAAGGATATAAAGATACTACGGGCAAAAAAGTGGCTCAGACGTGCACGTATCGCGCTCTCGTTTGTCAAACATTGTTCGACAAATATAGACGTAGGAATCACACATAAAAGTCTGGCGTATACTGAAATATGACGTATTAAAATTCCACCCTCGCCCCGCGCCCCGCGTCCCGCGCCCTGCACCCCGCACTCCGCGCCGCACCGTGGAGGCCGAACGCCGGCGATGCTTATCTCTCCTGTGTGTTGGAGCTCTAAGTAAGACACTGCGCTTATCGCCGCTTTTTACGTAACGGAAAACATATAAAATACTTGTTGTGATCTTTTTTGTGAAACACGCGTCGGAAAATATCGTGATACGACCACGACCGGAATATAAGAAATACTGACTGAGTAATGACTTCATAACGACTGAATGGAAATTGTTTGACACGAAATGTATAGTTAGTCGACAGTTGACATCACAATTAAAATATATTACAAAGACCAAACTGTAAGATAAGGAGACAGTTCTTACTAGAAAATAGAATAGTCTAGTTTCTTAAACTAAGTCCTTGCTGCCAATACTCTGCCCTAAGACACCAAGTAATTCCTTGATACCGTTTACTTAATGCTTTTATTTAAAGTACAAAGGTTCAAAGCAAACAATTTAATCTTACAAATTAATCTCTTGTAAAAATTTAAATATTTTAAAGAATAAAAACGTGACACTGTAAAAAGACAAATCCTTTACTTTACGTGAGGAAATATTCACTTTCTAAGTATTCTCACGTCGTTTTCATCGTGGGGGAGCTCATTAGAGGCGGCATTCATAAGGTTACCTATCTCTCGAGAGCGCGTATGCACTGACTTCAGCACTGCACCGCACCGAGCGCTACTCCGGACTACAGAATACGATGTACGTCGCCTCTTTTGTTACCTCGTACTACTCAAATCATATCTAAGCTTCTTTCGATAATACTTGATCTTTTCTCTCTTTTAGCTTTTCAGATATATTTATTTT